AGTTGTTGTTTTACTAGGGGTTTTTTTTCTGTTACAGTTAGTATGTCATATTTTGAACTACAGGAGTATTAGCAAAATGTATGCCTTTGCTGTGATTGGCTTGATTGCCTAAGCAGGCATTGTTCAACACATGCAGATGACAATTTAACATTCATCCTTATCTGAAAGACAACTATTAAACATCATTTGAAAGGGATATTTTGGACTACAAAGACAAGTGTAAAACTTTGCTGAATATTAGAATTTTTTTAAATGTGTAAGACCTTCTTAGAATCTTTCTACATGTGTTGTGAGCTGTTTTCCTCTTAGCCAGACACCTCTTCGGCAAGTGTCCCTCTAAGCTGCATGGTCTGCAGCTGCTTAATGAGCCCCATCCAGGGGCTCAGGGCTGCCCTGCATGGAGCTGCCTGGTAGGGGGAGGGGCACTTCTCCCTCAGCTACAGCAGCAGCTCCATTCTGAGGACAGAGCAGTGAGCTGGTTGCCTCCTGAACAGTTTGCAATGAGTATTCCTTCAAGTATGGGATATTCTAGATGCTTCAGTTTTCAGGCTGAATGATCAGCTAAAAGTCACCTGGTATTGCGTCTTTCCTCAAACAAACATTTCAAGGTGGCCACTTCCGTGAGTCTTTTCACATGAGCAGACTCTCACATCTCTTTATGAAACCTTCATAAGCATTCTTGCAAGTGCATAATCACTTGCACAAATGTCTGGGCAAAACTAACAAAAATGTGAAGAATATTGAAATAAATTTGATTAAGATTTTGTCAAAAGAATCATGTGACTTTTGGGCAGTATTTACCCAGCTGTACCTCAAGGCTTTTCCTTCATTTGAAAGCAGAGGCAGTGAAGAAGAAACCTAGCAAGAATCTCTTTAGCTTTTATCCTATTTACCTTTCCTTTTTGTAGAAGGCTCCTACTGAGGTCATAATCCAGGTTCATTTTCTGTTGAAGAATCTATAGAATTGTTCACTGTCTATTTTTGGTCTTTTGGTCAGCACTTTAACTGACCCCATCAGCTCTGTATTGACCTACATGTGACAACCAACCAAATTTGTCTGGCAGGCACTTTACCTATATTAAATGCAATAATTGACCATCCAGCAAATGACCCATGGTTATGTATGGGTTCCTAGGTATATTGTGATCACTTTCTTTAATCTGTCCTTAGAATGCTACATAATACTAGAGGTTGAACCTATCTTGTTCAGCACCTTCCTGATCTGACCAATTAGAGAATTTGCTGAACCACAGGAAGTCAATATTGTCTAGCAGCATTACCAACACTTCTACTGTTTGCTATGCTCTTAAAAGACATTTAGGGGTAAATTAGAGCTAAATAACACCACAAACACAGACAGCCAGGACTGGTGGCTGTAAACAATCTTTATCGGACTGTGGGAAACTTGTCCACACCCATGATAAGTGGTCATCCAGCTAACTAAATTTCATGCCGGACCATAGATGTTCTTGGATCAAGGAGTGCCGTTCAACCTGTAGATGGCTAACTTGTTTTTCATTTGATCACATTCAGGTCTATTTGTATAAAAAAGACTTTTTTATACAAGTATATATTGACATGCTAAGTGAAAAACTTAAAGAAAAATTATAGCAAATTAAAATGCTTTTCAAATGAGACAGAAAATATTACAGTGAAGGAGGAAACTAACAGACTTTCTAGAGACCAACATTTTTATTTAAGACTAAGCTTTCAGGCAAATACAATTCTGCAGTCTTCTGAGGAAAGCTGTGATAACTGGTGAGGGACAATGACAATTAAAAATAAAACAAACTTAAGTTTGTCATCAATTTAAATGTTATGTAGATTAATATTGCTTTTTATCATACTATATTCTGCTGATTTATCACATGAATCAAGTACTGGCTTTTCTTTTTAAGGTAATAATTCGTTTACATTACCAAACATAAATAAATTGTGTCTGCTGCTAACAAACCAAACCTGCTAGGAACTCACATTACCATTCTTTTCAGACATTAACTATCTGACATTGTCCTAAATGTTAAAAGTCACACAGTTTTTGCAAGATTTTTAATCAAAGATGACCAGTAAATATATCTTTATGACAAATTGCATGGTGTTTTACTTTGTTCAAACAGGATTTCTAAGATATTTTTAAACACAGTTTTCATTAAGAACTCTTTTTTGTTCAGTAAAACAAGCAAAGGAACAATTATAGTCTTGAGACTTTTCTGAGCTGTTAATGATGTGTAATAGCTCCAACAATTTTGTGTGCTTTTCCTCTTTGAAACATGATCCCTTTGTAAAATGCTCATGAAAATAGTGACCTTGTGATATAATTCACAATTCCTCTATTTATCATCCTTATTATGTGAAAGCACATTCAAATATAATTTCCTAGCAAGAAGAAAACTAGACTGCATTATCAGGAGGAATGTCAATTGGGGTTATCGGAAAAGCATTTTAATATTTAATTTTATAAGTGTGTGTGTGTGTGTGTGTGTGTGTGTGTGTGTGTGTGTGTGTGTGTGTGTGTGTGTGTGTGTAAAATCTAGTAATTAAAAGAAATATTTAAATGGAATAATTAACAGTTTAAACTCACACACACACACATATTCCACTTAGCCTCTGGGGCTGGCCAGACCCCAGGTAATGTTGAAGTCCGACATGCATGTCAAAATAAATGAAGTTGAAGAAGGGTGTTGGTGGAGATACTGACTCTTCCCTTCTAAAACCCTTCCCAACTTGCAGAGATAGAGAAGATATCACATTGTAGAGTCAGCACTCATCTCCACCTCTGATTAACCTGATGTGATTTTGAGCTTTGCTTCAGTCTGCACAGATTTTAATCCCAAACGCACTTTTGATCACTTTGTATTTATGAAATACAAATTCTTTGCTTTCCCCTCCTTCAAGATTCATGAATCCATATACTTGAATGCATATTGGAAAGATGAATGGCTAAGGGGAAAAAAGAAGGTTCCAGTGTTCTTAGTGTAGGAGCAAAATAAGCATTTATAAAAGCAGAATGTGTGACAAAGATAAAAACCAAATGAAAATTAAGGCTCAAGAAGAGTTCTCGCTGATGGGAGAGGGGACAGGAGGGAAGGAAATCTAAATATTTTCAGTTAATATCCAAAAGGTGAAATGTAAAAAATACTCCATTAAATCCCATTTCTCCACTGCTTTGATATTTTAATTTCCTATTTCATTTCCTTTTTATACTTTCCTGCTACTGATCCCATGACACACATACAGAGTCTCTGGGGGAAACTTGCCATGGAAAATCATTTTTCCAGAGTTTGTTCTTATAGCCCAAGATTATTTGGTTTCTCCCCACTGAGAGGTGATGTGTATCCGGGCAACAGCTCTAATGAAGGATTCCCTGCATTTGTACTTTTGAGAAACTGTTACTCAGGAGTTACAG